ACTACCTCCTCTGATTAAGTTGACCAAGGACCACGATGGCCCAGGATAATGGAACCAAGAGATCTTGATCGGGTCCATCATCCATTCCCCCACCATCTGCTTTAAGTGTAAGATGGTAAAATTTTTAATTTTAAATATCAACCCTCAATTCTCAAATTCCAAACCCATGCCTTAATCGAAAGTTCTCTCTCGGTGTCGAGAGGGGTTTGCGTCTATAGCAAATCAAAACTCAGATCATAAAGTCCTCACAAAATGAGGGCGAAATCTCGGGTAGTGTCTTATCTACAAACTCATTTGCCTTCCCAAAATTTACCCCGAAACTTAATTCCATTAAAACTCCCTCCAAAGAAAAAACAAAGCAGGTGGAGGCCGGGGCCGAATTTTCGGAGCCCACACTACATTTGTGAAACGATTGTGCTGTTGAGTTTGGAATACCCAAATTGCTAGAAATGGACACTCATATTGGCCATGTGTTGCCATGTAAAAACTGATAAAAAAAATTTAAACATGTGCATTAAAGGAGGTAAAATCTGGTGTTCGTAAATGATAAAATTTCATCAACCAAGCCTATGTGAATTTAAAACTAGTATTCAAATGATAAGAGTTAACCTGCAGTTGTCCTTTGCTAGCCCAGTCCTTTTTAAAAATAAAAAAAATCCTTAAAATTTTCACACTTGAGTTCGAAAGCTGTATGCTTGTCAATACAGAACATTATAAAGAGATATGCAGACTTTCTTTATATTCACAAATAGAAAAATTCCTATATAAGTAGTGTAAACACTATATCTATGTGGGCTCTAAAAATTCGCGCCCTGCCTCTCAGCTGTCCCTTTTCTTTTCTTTTCTTTTCTTGGTGTTGTTGACGTATATTTTCTCATCGAGGCAGATTCAGCCCGGATCGAGCCTATTCGAGCTCGATTGGGCTCGATCGACTCAATTGATTGTCATCGAGCATCAATTTACTCAAATTGGATCTCAATTTAATCAAATTAAAATCAAATCGACTGCAACCAACTCAAAATAAGTCTAAATCGAACCCAATCAAGCCCTGTCAAACCAAATTTGACCTAAATTGGCATCAATTTGAGTTCAATTTCTTAAAATGGGCTCGATCGAACCCGAATCGACCCAAATTAGGTCCAATTCAGGCTCAATTTGAGCCCAATTGGACCAATCCAGGTTCAATTAGGCTCTATTTGTGTTTCTAGCCCTTTATCATCATTTCCTTAAATTTGGAAACTCCATCTAAGGGCTAAGATTCAAAAACCGACTACTACAGGTCTTCTCCCTCTAATTTCTGCAACAGAAGATTAGGATATTGTGTAGAAATCCTATCTCGCAGCAGAGCTTCGTTCCGCGTAGAGAGAGCAACATATAGTCTCTCCCATTTGGTAGACTTCCCTGGTCCAAACAAAGAGCAGAGAGCGTGAGAGGGAGAGCCACTATTGCTTACCAAAGTTCAACGCCTTTTAGCAATTCCTGGGATTTATTTGCAAAACATTTTTTTGAAAGAAATTATAGCTTAAAACATTCATCATAAGTGGAAGCTACAAACTTTTAATTTCTAAAATTATTATTTACGGAGCAACTATAGTAAACTAAAACGTGTAGCTATTGATAGATTACTAAACTCCAAATATATCTTTCTTATATAAACTATACAAATAAAATAAAATTGAACCTGACATTATTCTGGTTCAACCTTATCATTCGCTTTCCCTCCAACAATCAAAATAACCATTTGGTGAGCTACAGTGCCCAAAAGATATGCACTTCTAATATAGTAGTTAAGTGTGGAAAAAATAATTACTGGTGCATCAACAAGTAAAAGTAAGAAAATTACGAATAATCATTTATTAGGAAGTAGGTATAGTAGTTTCTAGCGTGACATGTAGAATAACTACGATAGGTAGGAACTAAGCGGAACGTAATGTTAATGCGAGCAAAATGCATTCAATGTAAAATTATACTTTGTCTGTAAGTTATGCCTTATAAGTGTTTTCAATAAATGCATCGTACATTGCTATAGGTAATGATAATTAAAATTCAATTCATTTATGAAGTCCCTTTTTTTAAAACTCAGAAAATGTCATGTACAAATGTCCAGGTTTAGGTTTATCGCCTTTAGGCTCTAGAGGTCACACTGCCTTGATCGCTCCTAGGCCTTGTGTCATAGCCCGTAGGCTTCATACTATATCGCGGTTGCACTGCACATCAGGGTCGCATTGCCCCACCCACCTCTCATCTAACATGACATTTTCTTTGGCTTATCTAATCATCATTTTTTTTCCTTTCAAGGTTATAGGCATTTGACTATATATATAATTATTCACATGTGTATAGGTTGATATGGTCATTTGGTGTATCGGTACATAAGCATGTAAGACTATATGAATCATATGATACATGCAATTCCCGTAAGAAAAAATTGTCTATTACAACATCATATAACATAATCTCCCACTATAGAAAGTTACATGTGAGATTTGTGTGTGGATCATAATTTCAGGCTAATCCTAACAGGCAAGAGTACGAGGGACATAAATCACTCACAATCAATTCAATTCATATACATGTATACATATAATACTAAATTATTAGCATACTATACTGAAATTGCATATCTTACCTTTGCTCCAATCTACTTCTACAATTTTAACACCTCGTATTCTCCTACGCAAGTACATTACCTCCAAGTTTCCTCTCCTCATACAACTCTCAAAACTTTAAAATTCTCTTCCTTATAAATTTGAAACCTCTACCTCTTCTTCTCCTTTTGCTTCTTCTCTCTTATTCTATATAGGAAAATTCTAAAAGAAAAAAATAGGGGTAGAGAAAAAGGAAAGGAAGAATAAAAAGGTGAATATGATATATATACCTTTTCTTTTTCTCTACCCCTTTTTTTGCCTTAAGAAATTACCTACTAGAACTCCCATAGGAGTTTTTCCTTCTTAAGTGCTCGGTCTGCCTTCCCCACGCCTAGTTGACCTCGGTTTGGAAGGAAAATTCAGAGCTCCTCTTATTTCCTAGGTGTGGTAATGTAAAGGAATTAAGAAGATTTTAACATTCCACTACACAAAGGTTTGATCGCAATCCTTCATAATACCAAAGGTTGCTGCATGCATAGGTAAGTTCTTTAGGCCCTTAAGCACTAATGCATTAATTTATTGTATGTATTATTATTTTTTGTACATGAACAATAAATATGACTTAGGTATTTAGTTATGTAAAACAAATTAACTTAATTAAGCTTATCTAATTACCTTACCCTATAAATATATACGAGTAAATGATCTTAATAATCGGTGGAATTTTATAAATATATGATATTGATATTCTCAGGTATATATATATACCTGAACGAAATTCTTTCCCTTTACCTGATAAGTTTGAGTATTACAATTATCCAATCTCTCAAAAGAAAATATACAAATAACCTATTATAAGTTATTAAAAAATAACAAATATAGATTATGATTAGTAGGATTGCTCCTGTGGTGATGACCCACTTAACACTCCAATAAGACCTACTATGAAAAGACACAACAATGAATGAGTTTGATAAATCAAACTCAACAAATAACTCCTCTATTTATTAAAGCATAAACGATGGAAGAATGAGGCTTACAGTATGACTAATCAAATAGATAGGAGTAACAACTGATAATCAACTTATCAATATAACAATGCCATATGTCTTGGTTTTTAAGATGGGTTCTAGCATGCTAATGTTACAAATGTGTATGTCAAATTGCTACTAATGTAGTATCGTTCAAATGCTCACACATGCAATTACATTGGTTACCATTGTACCCCAATATGACTTACCAATCATTAATCATTTTTATCTCATGATTTTTTATATATTATCTATAGTCGATATAGTCAAACACCCTGTACCAGGAAGGTAAATACCAACCAAGGAAATTCAATGATTTCCTATAGAATCGTCATCTTGTGGGTTCGTCAGCCTAGCCAGCCAATATCAGATAGGGTTCTATTGACCTACACACCATTACACACATGCATATAGTTTCTAAGTTTTTCATAGGCACATTTCAATTTTGTTATATTTTTAATATGATGATTGTTATATCATAATAAGATATGATTTGCAAAGATGATATTTATTGCATTCTATAGGAAAATCCTAAAAACCCAAAATCCAAACCCTAAAAATGGTGTACTATATGCTAGGCACTTAATGCCTATCTAATGACTAGCCTTAATCGAAAGTTCTCTCTTGTCATCGGGAGGGGTAATTAATCATAGCGGTTTGTGCCTAATGATAAATTAAACCTCATATCATAAAGTCCTTGCAAAATGTGGATGAAATTTTTAGCTAGTATCTTATCTAAAATCTAAGCTGCCTTTTGAAAATTTTCCGGAGAACATAATCTCGTCAAAACTTTCCTTGTCGATACGAGGTGCAAAGAGGCTGGTTTGTGAATTTTTAGAGCCCACAATATTCATGTTTTATTTAGCTTCATTTTCTTGCAATGCAAAGTTATGTAACGATTGTGTCACTGCAAAAGTTATAAGAGAGCATCATTTATTTCATCTAAAGACTAGTAGCTTTAAATGAACATTGTAATTCTAGAGGATCTTTTTTTAGCATTTATTTTAGCACTTAATTAGGCAATATGGTCTTATTTATTGATAGTTGCTAGAAGCCATCATATTATATTACTTCTTTCAATTAACTAATATCTAAAATTTTCATTTATCTGCTATTATTATACATGAGATTATTTGATGCGTGAACTTAAATATGAAGAATCTTTGTTGGAAATATCCTCAAATGTGAGGCTTGTATGCAGTTAAATATGTGAAAAGAAATGTTGGCGGTTAGACAGTAAAAGATCCGAGGAGGTTTCATCAGAAAACTTTCATTAAAATCATGCTATAGTTCAAAATAGCGTCTATCAATTTAATTTTCTGCAAATATTTTTTTATGATGCTAATGTTCTTTATCATGATATTTTTCTGTTCAATCCAAGGCCACTACTTTCTACTACTTCTGGTGAAAAGCTAGATAGGAGTGCATCACCTCTAGTAAAATTGAATCCTTGGCTACAAGCACCTTATTCTCCTTTGGGTACTAAAAGCTCCAAGTGGAATTACATGAAGAGGCCATCCTTATGTGATACTGGTGCTTCAAGAGTGAATCAGTTAATGCCTATAGTTCATCCTCTTGATTCTCAAGCATTGAACAGTTTATCGAACTCTCTCTGTCTTGCTGCAAAAGTTGAAGGTTTGGAGGATTTCTCGTCTTCAAGGGTAAGGTTTGAAATGTATATTCTACTGTAATGTCACTCGTAGAACGTGAAATCTAAACGTTTGAAAAGCTTTTAAAATACAGATTGGATATCCACTGACAAATACTCATGGAGAACAAGCAAGCATTTTAAATAATGTTGCATATGAAGAACCTGCAGAAGTATGTTCCCATTCATAGTTCTACTTTGTAGTTACTTCTTTTGCTATGCTTAGAAGTTACTTCTTTTGCTATGCTTAGAAGTAACTTTGACCTTATACTGATTCCCATCTAACATAAGTATATTTTTTTTTTGATTTTTTGCGGAATGTGCTACACTTATTTCATGTCATTTTAAGAATTGGTTCCCCTTTGAAGATTGGTGTTTTGATGAAGCCGAAGTCAAAACATTATTCTAGTGCTGCTCAGCAAGTTGAAGAAACCATTGCAACAAAAAAAGATGGATCTTCTAAAGTAATAAGCAGTCGGGTGAGAAATTTTCTTATGTGTTTTGGGAGGTTGGTGCAAGTTTACAGTTTCTCATACAAAGTTGATCCTTAGGAACATTAGCGCAGATAGGCTAGTCCCTGGCTGTTTATTGGAGCAGTATTAGCTTCGCTATGTTTCATTTCCATAGTAAAATGCTTAATAAATTATTAAATTTGCCCATGGTTTACTGATGGCAGATATATAGAGCCAAGGTTGCCGAAGCAATTAAAGCCTTGAATAATGCTCTACCAAATACTGAAACTGTAAGCTAAGTTTGGCCTGTTGATTCCAATAGTATATAAAATAGTTGTTGAATGTTCTATGTGGTTTAAAGTTAATTTTTTTTGTTAATGATGTAAACAATTTAGTCAACTAATCTAACCCAAATGTTATTTGGATAAGTTTTATTACAATTTGACTTACGTTGAGATAGATGTATTGTAAGTTTTGATTGATTAGTCATTTTTTGCATTCATCTCAAAACAAATTCAACAACAATAAAACTTGTCCTGATTAAATTTGGTCACATATCTGACCTCAAATTTCCTCTTTTAAATGTTGAAAAAAGCTCCAGTGGGTTGAAAACTTTTCTGATATAGATATCTGTCATGCAAACTACGAAATCTATTCTATTTCAATGACTACGAAGTTTTGCTTCTCAAAATATGCCATCTCAATGTTAACTTCTCTTTGTTTGTTCAGTTTCTTTTATGCCAATCTAATTTTCGTTGCTGTTTCTTTCTTCCTGTTTACAGGGTAATCAGGCATCCATACTAGATAAAGTCATAGATTATATCAAGTATCTGAAACATCGGCTAAATGTAAGTGACATTTAATGCATCCGTATAATTGAAAGCAATCTTATAATGATCATATTACAATTTTTAGTGTTGCTGAGCTACTGATGGGTTTCATTTTGGTGTATAAGATTTATCATTTTAAATGTTAAAGAATTCGTCAAAATGGTTGTCATGCATTAAAACCTTCTACATAATCTCTTACTGAAGCATGTGTCTGCGATTGATACTTGGTGGGATTGGGAATGCTAATAAAGTTAAATCACAGCAGTATACATTGTTTCCTATACTTGAATGGTATTTAAACATAGCTTGTATCAATTTAGAGCGAAAGATGACATTAATGATTA